CACACCCCCGCAGCGGCTCCGGAGTCCGTGCCCCCACCGCACACCCCCGCAGCGGCTCCGGAGTCCGTCCTGGGCACTGTGGACACAGGGCCAGGTCATTCTGTGGGGGCGTCCTGAGCACTCTGGGGGGCTGAGCAGCATCCTGGACCCCACCCCCTCCATGCCAGGAGCCCCCCAAGTGTGACAACCACAGATGTCCCCAGATGGGGCAGGGCTGCCCTGGGTGAGAGCCACCTTTATGTTACTCCCCTCCACCCAGGTCACTGTCCCTGCCTCCGGGCCTCCACTGGTCCTTCACGGGAGATATTTGCTGACCCCTGACTGAAGGGGTAAACAAGAAAAGATCTATTTAACCTGCTGGTGTCTTTTATGTTATGTTGTGCTTTTCTGGGTGCTTAAAATCTTCTGTTACTAAGCATCATGTTTAGACAATGCCAGACCCTCCGTAGCATTTCATCCCCACAGCGGGGCCCAGCAAGCAGGAAATGCTCAGTGCTCACAGTTAGGAATGAGCGAGGGAGGGAGGGAAGGAACAGAATATTCTTTGGGAAATTGGTTGTTAGGGAAAATTTGTAATTCCTTCCCTGACACCATTCCCTGTTCTAGGGGGCTCAGAGTGAAAAATGCAAACCTGTGAGAGGGAAAAACTATCCAAGAGGAAGAAAACAGCTTTGCGAATCCCAAAGCCTTGGTTTGAGGCTTGCCCTCTGTTTTGAAGTTCTAGGCTGTTGCCGGAGTCCTGCTGCTGCCGAGGCCCTGCGTGGTTGCCCAGAGCCACGGGGAGTGTTCTCCTCCGAGTGTGGGGTCAGAGCCGGGTTGGGTTTCCCTCGTGCCCGTGGGGGCAGGGGGCTGGGGGCTAGCCCAGCCCTGCTTTGGACAGGGGCAGCGTTTCCCCCGGTGTCTCCAGTCCTTGACAGAGACGTGGATTGAGCACCTACTATGTGCGGGACACTGTTCTCTGCACTGCCACCTCCGTGCATCATCCTGCGTGTGTGCCCCGCCCTGGGCACCTGGCCACATCCGAGTGTCCCTCCTCCGTGGCCCCTGTCTCGGTGATGGGCCCACTGTGGGCCTGATCCTCCCCCCTTGCAGCTGGGTATCTCCCTGTCCTGGCTGTCAGCCCTCCGGGGTCTTCCCCAAATCCATGCCCACCGCTCCATTCGACCTGTGGTGGCTGCGCTCGGACCGCGTGCCAGGACTGGGCCAGGCCGTGGGGAAGCAGCGTCAGCAAGACAGTCCTGGTCTCTGCTCTGCTGGTAAGGAGCAAGGCGGCAAAGCAGTTAGCTTTAGACAGTGACGTGTGTCATGAATAAATAAAACAGGCATGGTAGAGGTTGGGAGGAGGTTAGGGGTGGGAAGGGACAGTCCCCCTGGGAGGTGACATTCAAGCCGAGACCTGAGTGATGGAGGAAAGCAGCCTGCCACGGGGAGATGGAGGGAGAGTGCATTCCAGGCACAGGGCACGGTGAATGCCAAGGCCCTGAGGTGGGAACGTGCCTTCTGGAAGGTATGCTGAGTGAATGTGCGTGGCACATTCGCTCACCATGGCACACTGCCTTGCACACTGGTGCTCCGTAATGTCTGCTGTTTCCCGTGTGATCACTCACATTCCTCGGGCAGAAGCCACTCAGAAAACGCGTTTCTCCTAAGCTTGAAAACACCTGGCAGCTGAAGTCAAAATTCACCTTTAACCTGGAGGGAAAAGTGTGCAGACAAAGAAAATTTTCAGCTGTACAGAAAAGCTGAAAGAACGGGGCAGTGGGCGCTCACTCCATACCACTTGGACCCTGCCGTTGACATTGGCTGTGCTCACTTCATGCATCGCCTCCCTGACCTCCCTCCACCCACCTGTCCCCCCACATCCCCTCCCCGCTCTGGGGATTTAGTGCCCCTGGAGGACAGGGGATCTTCCCAGCGTCTGTTCATTGGAAAGGGCCATCGACATTTGACAGATAAACATTAATCCAAGCATGAAACTAGGGAGAGGCAGCCACATAAAGAGCAGGGGGTGGGTGCAAAGGGCAGAAACTCCCAAATTCAGCCTCAGCACTCGTGCCGCGTGACCTCGGGTAAGTCACCGGCCACCTGCTCTGCTCTGGTTAGTTCTAACGGTTGGCAAGTTGGTTCTCCCGGGTTTTCTAAAATGTTGTCTTTCTTTCCAACTTCCGTTCCTTCTCTTTTCTTGTCTTACCGCACTGGCCGGCATCCCCACGGCAGTGGTGGCTCTCGGCTGCACTCCTCTTGGGGGGAGCGTCGCGTGCTTGCCGTGGCTTTTCGCTTTATTCTGTCTTCAAGCAAAGCAGTTCTTCTCCCCCATCAGCCCATTTCTGTTTGCTTCTCTAGTTTCTAATAGTTTTCAGGCATGAAATTTGTGTTGAATTTTGTCGAATGCCTTTCTGGATTCTGAGATGTGATCATAGGGTTTTTTTCACTTTCGACCTGGGTGAGTATCTTCAACCCCGTTTCGCTGCCTGTAGAATGGTGGTCGCAGAATGAGATAGTTAAGTCCGGTGGTGCCTGGCCCCTCTGGCCTCCGTGTGGGGGATGGCGTGACCTGGGCCTCTTGTACTGTCACTTTGCAGCGCTGCCTGCCAGAAGGAGTGGAGCCTGGAGAACGTTCTGGATGGTGCGCATCGTTGGGCAGTGGTTTTGCAGCTAAAGGGATTTGTTTTTGAGATGTGTTTACATACCATAAAATTCACTCTCTTGGGGGTGCCTGGGTGGCTCAGTCGGTTGAGCGTTCCGACTCTTGATTTGGCTCAGGTCAAGATCTCAGGGACGTGGGATCGAGCCCCATGTGGGGCTCCGTGCTCAGCAGAGAGTCCACTTGGGATTCTCTCTCCCTCTGCCCCTCCCCCAGTTCATGCGCTCTCTTGCTCTCTTTCTCTCTCTGTCTAAAGTAAATAAATAAATCTTAAAAAAAAATTCACCCTCTTAAAGTACACGATTCCGTGGGTTTTACTACATTCGCTATGTTGTGCCACCATCACCACTGTCTAGTTGGAGAATATTCTATCACCCCAAAGGAAACCCCGTCCCCATCAGCGGTCAGTCCCCATCCCCCCAGCCCCCAGCCCCCACGAGCCCCCTTCCCGTCCGCGGATGAGCCTATTCCGGACGTGTCACCCACGTGGACGCACACCCCGTGTGGCCTTCTGTGTCTGGTTCCCTCCCTGAGCGTCGTGGGCTCGGGGTCAGTTCCCGGGGCAGCATGTGTCTGCACCTCATTATTTGTATGACTGAATAATCCAGCCTTTGAATATATTCAGTGCTTTTTTGAAAGTAAGGAATTTGAGGTGAACAGAGGAGTCAAAGCTCTATTTCCTTCCTCCGTCCCCGAAGAAGTCCTTGGTAATAGATCCTTACATTCCTTTTAGAAACGCTCTCCACACGTCGGTGCGGTACCCGCTTCCTCAGCTGTAGCTGCCTAACAGACCACCCCAGGGCTTAGTGCTTGAGAAAACAGCTGCGTGTTTGCTTGTGACTCTGCCCCTGGCTCGACTTCGGCTGGCAGTCCTTCTGTGGCCTCGCCTGGGGTCACACGGCCGTGGTCAGCAGGCGGCAGGAAACCCAAGAGGCTCCCGCACCCTGGTCCTGCACCTCAGCTGGGGGCTGCCCGCCTGTCTCCGGAGCCCCGGGGCTCAGGGTTCCCGGAGGGCGGAATCGGAGGCCGCCAGCCTTGCCTGCGCCCTGCGGTTCCTTTGGCGGCACTCTGCTGCTCAGAGCATCACGTGGCTGCAGAGAACCGGCTGTCTTCACTCAGCCACGGGAGCCTTTCTTCCTGTTTGGAGAGAGGATTTGCAAGTGTGGCTCCTGCGCGTCCTGGCGGGCCAAGGCTGACCGGGGCTGAGGGTTGGCATTGCCCCCCAGGGGTTCCCAGCGTCTCCGCAGGCTGCCCGCAGGGCTCTGCTGCAGAGGCCTATGCTGCGGGAGGCCCAGGGCAGCCCGATCATTCCAGCTAATCAGGGAAGTGTGTGCGGCTGGGCCTCAGCACCACTTCCTGGCTTCTCGGGGCTGCTGGCCCTGTCTGCCATGGCCTTGTGCTTTCTCGTTGGCTCTGAGTCACGGGGAGCCGGCACCCTTCCTGGGCACTAGGCAGTCCTGCTCTGGGCAGGGGCCCCACCCTGCACGGAGCTGACAGGTCTCATGCCCCTTGTGTCCGGTGGGGAGTCCCTGTATGCAGAGAGCTCTGAAGGTGTCTGTCACGGGGTGACTGAGCAGACCTGCTCTCCCGGTAGTGGGGGAGACATAACATGGAGGCACCGGGTGCTGCCGAGTGCCTGGGAGACCCAGAAGGCCCAGGAGGTGAGGAGAGTGACCTCAGAGGGGCTGTTTTGGGCGAAGTGGTTGGAGGACACCTCAGAGGGGGTGACCTTTGAATCAGGTCTTGGATGAATTAAGTTAGCAAACCCTGCAAGTGTCTCGGGAGTGGTGTTTCGGGGGGGGCAACCTGTGCAAAGGTCCTGGGGCAGGGCCCTGCTTGGCATGTTGGAGGAACAGCGAGGAGGCCTGTGTGGCTGGAGCAGAGTGGGGGAGAGGGAGGGCAGGGAGGGGACAGGGGCGGGTCCTGCAGGGCTTGGGGACCTCAGGGAGGACTTGGGCTTTTCTCCCAGGGAGGAGGGAGTCCTGGAGGGCTATGGGCGGAGCAGGGCGGGACCTGACTGGGGTGATCATGGGCGCCCTCTGGTGGCCGCTGCGGGAAGAAGAACGGACTGGGGGTGAGGGCAGGACTGGGGACCAGGGTGGAGGGGACTGTGCTGGTCCAGGTTGGGGGCAGTGGGCAGATTTTGGATGGATTGTAAAGGTACAGGTGGCTGATTCTGCTGAAAGACAGAGGGGCCTTACCGGCCCCTCCCTGGGTCCCCACAGTCCTTCCTGAGCCCCGTCCTCCCTCAGTTTCCACATCAAACAAACGTGGAGGAGCAGCTCCTGCTGAAGCTCACATGCGTGCACAGGGGAGAGGAAAGGGTGTCTGTCTATCCATCCATCAGTCAGTCAACAAACGTTGGTAGGTGCCTGCTAAGGGCAGGTCCAGCCCTGAGGGAGGAGGCCCCTCTCCCGTGGGTAGGACAGATGTTGGTGTCGTTGTCGCCCGGAGGGGCAGGACAGGGTCTGCAGGGTGGGGCAGCAGTCCGATGGTGGCACGGGGTGGTGGGCTAGGGAGGGGGCCCAGCTCTGGAGCCCTAGCTTTGGTCACCCACAGGGGCACAGAGAGACCAGAGGAAAGCTGCTCAGAGAGGTGGAGGGACTTGCCTGAGGTCACACAGTGGTGGGCCGCAGGGGCTAGCTCAGAGGTTAGGGAGCAGGGGAGGCAGGGGATGGCCCCCTCCCCCAGAACGGTCTGGGCCCTGGCTGCCCCGTGCCTTCCGCCCAGCGGCTGGCACAGCTGTGCCCTGCCCAGGGCGGGTCTTGGCCCAGTGTGGCACACTCTCTCCCTCCCCAGGCTATTTTTAAAACTTAATTTCCTCAAAAATGGGGTGGCTCATTCAGAAGAGAATGGGTCACATCTTGGGCTGGGAGGAGCTCGTCATGGCGTGGCCTCCTTGGGCCTGGCCTGGCTGATGGGAGCATAGGGCAGGGCCATGGGACCTCCACAGCCCACCCGCCCTGAGCAGCCACCAGCCTCTGAAGATGCACGAAGGCCCTCGAGGGCCCAGGGCCACGGTGTTTGAGGGAGCAAGGGGGTCGCTCACGGGCATCATGCTGCAGCCTCCCTGGCACGGAGCCCAGGATTTTCCAGGTGGGAGGATGCGTCTCTCCCTTTTATTAGCCAGCGTGTGAGTCGGGCAGGAGTGTGGCTGTTGCAGGGACCCTGGGCACGAAGCAGGTGACTTGAGGGGTCCCAGGGCAGGGCAGACCCGGGCAGGACCTCATATCAGATGCTGGTGTTGGTGTGGCCCGAGCACGCAGGGTGAGCGCGGCTCCCCCCGACAAGCTGGGAGAACTGGGAAGCAGGTGGAACTGTTTGTGGGGGGAGGCCTGGACCTCGGGGCTGGGGCTGCTCGGGCAGAGAGCCGCAGGGTGAAGGGCTGGGAGCTGCAGAGGTCACGGGTAGGCACGGTTGGGTGAGCTTCGGGCCCAGTGGCCCCAGGCTGGCCAGGAAGGGGGAATGCCAGGGGCCCCCAAGCCAAGTCTAGAATGTTCTGTCTACTGCCGGCTTCTTTCCTTCTCCTTCCCCCCCCCACACCCCAGACGTAAAACCAGCAAATGTTATGTCAGCTTCCTAGCGTCTTCTACCTGGTTGCCTCGGGCTAAGCCTCAGGATGGGCCCAGGTTCATCCCTGACACCAGGGCGCCCAGGTTGGGAAGTCCCACACCCACACCCATCTGTGGGTGGGCGCCTAGGGCCTTGGGTAAGTGACCCGTGTGGGCTCTGACCTCTGGCTGGGTGTCCTCTGGTGGGCCCCGCGGCCGTGACCCTGGCATCAGGCAGTCACCCACCCAGCGTGTTTCTCTGCCTGGGCCATCGCCGGCATCTGGCTGAGGCACAGGGCAGTGGTGGTTACGGCTGACAGAGGACACCCATCCCCCACCCTGCCGACGCCAGGCTTACCCACGGTTCACAGTCCTCTTGGGTTCGTTTTTTCCATAAGTACGATTCATACACCATAATTCACACTTCTGAGCTTACAATTCAGTGTTTCATGTATTCACAATGTGGTGCACAGGACCACACTGATTCTAGAACATTCTCATCTCCCTAAAGGAAGCCCCATTCCCATTAGCAGTCACTCCCCAGTCCCCAGCCTCTGGCCCTGTCTGGTGTGAGAAGTGGAGCAGGTCCCTCCTCTGCTGGGCTGAGACTGACCCCGGCCCCCTCACCTGGGACTCCTGCTCCCCCAGCTCCGTGGTGCCTCCCCCGGTGCCCGGGCTGGGTCCTCGGGCCGCTCCCCTCCCGGGCACAGCCTCGTCCACCCCCCACCCCCGTCTACGGCAGGATGACACCCACAGTCCTGTCTCCAGCCGGGCCCTCCCCTGAGCTCCAGACTCGGGGGGCTCTTTGCGGGGGGCTCCCGGGCGTCTGACACTCAGCTCGACCATGCTGCACCCGACTGCCCCCACACCGGCTCCTGCCTGGTCGCTCATCTCGGCCGAGGCCACTCTGTCCTCTGTTAACTGCTCCGCTCAGGATCCTTAGTCATTCTCCCTTCGTCCTCTAGCTGCCCTAGTCCCCTGTCGTAGTGTCAGACCTGTCCGGAATCGGCCCACCCCTCTCCCTCCTCTGCCTCCACCTGGTCCAGCCCATCGTCTCCCGCCGGGACCAGAACCGCCAGAACAGCCCCCTCCACGCCCGTCCCAGGCCGCCGCCTTCACTGCCGCTCCCCCGTCCGTCCTCCCCGCAGCGGCCACCAGAGGGCGCCTGTGAGCAGTCGAGTCAGGTCGGCCCTCCTCTGCGCACAGCCCTCCGGGGCTCCCACCTCCCTGGGTCCCACCTCCTGACCCCTCCCCCCAGGTCATCCTCCTGGCTCCCACTCCCCTGTGCAGGCCCTTCTCTGGCCCCAGCCCCGACTGTGAGCCCTTGAGGGTGAGGGCCGTGTCTGCCCTGGTCTCCCCTGTCTTCCCGCCAGCCTGACACGAGACCCCCAGTGTATGAGCTTGTGACACAGCAGCACAGCTCCGCCTATCACCATACACGTTTGTTAGCACACTCTGGCCGTCACAAGCCTAAAATGGGTCTCACTGGGCTAAAACCCCGGGGCAGGCAGGGCTGGTCCCCCCGGGGCCCCCGGGAGACCCAGCTCCGGCCTCTTCCTGGCCCGCAGCCCCCCTCCATCCTCACCGCCAGCAGCGCGGGGTCCGCCCATCTCTGGGACTCCCACCCTCTGCCTCCCTCTCGTGAGGACGCCGGGCCCCCGGGAACCCAGGGTCACCCCCTCCTCGGGGGCCGTGACTTGCCCACCCCTGCATGGCCCGTCATCCGCAGGGGGCAGGGCATATCTGCCGTCCACACTCATTGGACAGATAATCCTCAGCAGAAGCCTGCGTTCCGGGTGAGCATGCTAAGGCTCAGAGAGGTCAGTGTTTGGCCTTCTCATGGGGAGCTGGGATTGGAGGGAAGGGTCCTGAGAGACAAAAACTACCTGCTGCCTCCCTCCCTGTGAGCCTCTTTCCATGGTGAGCAGCTCTCCCCGGAGACTGTGTGGGCAGGAGCCAGGGAGTCGTGGCTCCAGCCCCAGGCACTGGGCCCCTTCCCACTGACCCCATGGGTCGCCTGACTTCCCCTTGGCCTGAGCATCTGCTGGTTAAGCCCTGCTTCCTCCCGCGGGTGTAGACAGCACTTTGTCAATTCAGCCAGTCATTCGCCGCTGGGGACCTGACGTCTTTGGGGTCAGTGGTGGGTCAGCATCCTTGCCCACTTCCCACCCCGGGTCCTCGAGTCCCTCCGTAGGGGCGCAGGGAGCTGAGTGAGGCCACAGGCACCTGCGTGCAGCGAAGGCAGGGTGGGCTGCCCCCATCTCCAGGCTGAAGCCTCTCCTTCTCTCCTGCAGGCTTGGCCCAGAAGAAGATGGTCCCGACGGAGGTGAGTGTCCTGTGGCTGTGGGCAGCTCGCTGCGCCTCCCTGGGCCCCTCCCTCAGTCCTGCCAGCATCTTGAGTTTCAGGGAGGGGAGCGGGTGGGGTGGGAAGGGCGAGGACCCGGCCTGGACGGCGAGGGACAGGAGACGGAAGGGCCGCAGAGGTGGGACGGAAGCTGGGCAAGTGTGGGCCTCTGGGGAGTTCCCAGGAGGAGGACCCGGTCAGATGCTGCCGTAGGGCCGTGCCCAGTGCGTGATTAGTAGCACCTTCCGTGTAGCCCCCCAGGTCCCCACACATCTACCCGTGTCTGCCCGTCGTGTTCCAGAGAGCTTTCCCGGGGGGGGGGTGGCAGGCTGCCCCCCCGCTGGCTCTGGTAGCGCAGGTGGGGGCCAGCACTGTCCCTGGTCCTGAAAGGAGCCTGTGGGAGCGTGTCTGAGCCCCGCGTTCCAGGAGCAGCCCAGGTGTGGCGTCCCTGTGCCTGCGCTGGCCGCCTGGCCCCAGGCATCCATGTTTCCTGGATGCCACTACCATGTGGGGTCCTTGTGGGGAGGGCTTTCCTGGAGGGTGTCCAGCCACAGGGCAGTGGGGAGTCAGCCAGGGGTGCGGAGCAGGGGTGGTGCCTTCTGATTGCTGGGGAGAGCCCGCCCCCTGGTGACCAGTGTGCAGAACGCACAGCAGCCAAGCTGAGGGGCGAAGGCCGGTGGGGCATTGGAGGGCTGCCTGGACCCCTGAGTGGGGCAGTGAGGCCGCACGGGTCTGAGCACCCTCAGCTAGAGGCCGGAAGGGCTGCGCGGGCTCTGGATGGTGGCAGGTGTGTGGGAGATGTTTGAATGTCAGTGACGGTCCGGTCCTGGGAGGGGCACCGGCTCTCTCTGCTGGCCGGCCTGGGCCTCAAGCCGGGGCCCCTTCCGCCACTCTCCCCACACAAGTTTGTCACGCCTGCCGTGGCTGTCCCCATAGAGGACCCAGGCCAGGGGGACCTCTCCCCTCAGTTCACAGTCATTCCAGCCCAGGGGTCTCAGCTGGGCGACTCCGCCCGAGGGGACACTGTGTGATGTCTGGGGACATCTGTGGTTGTCGTGATGGGAGGCCTGCGCCGAGGGGTGGGGGCCATAGGGAATGACCCGGCCCAGTGTCAGCCGTGCCAGGGGAGCCCCTGAGACTGGTGTCCTGCTCCCCATGCACGCAGGAGAGCTGTGGGTGCTGACCTCCCTGCTTTCCTCAAGGAGCCGGAAGTCCCGGTCCGGGTCTGGGCCCTTCTGGATGTGCAGGGTTGGACCGTGTGGCCCCTGCGGGTGACAGGCCACCTGCTCTACCCTGGAGCCCGCCACTGCCCCACGTGCCTTGTCAGGACACTGACTCAGCCCATCTGGTCAGGATTTCTAGAAAACTCCGGGCCAGCGGCGCCTCCTTGCTGATTTTCAGTGCTTCCTGCTTCCTTCTCTGCAGGCCCCGTTGATGACTGGACAACCGGGTCCTGGCCACGGGAAGAAGTTGGGTCATCGGGGCGTGGACGCCTCTGGCGAAACCACATACAAGAAGGTTCTCCTCTGCCCTTAGCTGGCTGGGGTGGGGCTCCCAGCCATCCCGGGCCCCCACAGGCTTGGGCATGCTCTGTGCCCGTGGTTGGCTGGAGGCAGATGCTCTCGGGACAGGCCCCTCCACACAGGCCCCCGGTCCCAGCGAGGTCCTAGATGCCTGTCGCGGACATCACAGGAGTCCCCGGCACCCCTGGCCGAGCCCCGGCTCCTCCAGCCTTGCTGGCTCCTGGGAGGAACAGGGAGATGCAGTTCTCCTTCCTTCCCTTGGAAAGCAGGGCTGAGCTGATGGGAAGCCCGAACGAGGCCAGGCCAGGCGGTGCGCGGGGAGACTTCCTAACGTGGCAGCTGGCTGAGGGGTCATGGGTGCCCCGTGTAATTCACCCTTTCCAAGTTAGGTGGTTCCCAGCGTGTTCACAGTCGTCCAGCTATCCCCACGGTCAGTTTTAGAATATGTCCATGAGCCCAGAATTACACCCCGTCCCCATCTGCTGTCACTCCCATCCTCTCCTTCTTAAGCGGGGGCAGGCTTCAGCCCGGGGGGTTTAGGCCATATGATGCCTGGCAGCCCCAGGATGGTGGGTACTGCCATCTCCATGCCCAACTATGGGTAGGGAAACTGAGGCACGGAGCAGCGGTGTCGCCCACCCAGCGTGACAATGCAAATCACCAGGAGAGTGGGCAGAAGGAACCTGGGATTACAGAAATGAAGTTCGGGTGTCATTATGCAAATTTATGTGGTTCCCCCCCCCCCCCCCCGCAAAAGAAAATCCTGACAGTAGACAGACCCCAGCTGAGTCGGGACAGTTTTGAGAAGTTGGAACCTTTGAGAACCTTGATGGAAAATAGGCCTGGGGACTGCATGAGGTGGTATTGGAGTCTCAACAAGGCCACCTCCTTGCTGTGTGGTTGTGTGAACTCAGTGACGAACCAGAGGCCAGCAGGTCTGTGACAAGTACTGGGCAGGCGCCCCGGGGCCCTGTGATGTTGACGGGTGCCAGGGTCAAGCTGCAGGCTGGACATGTGCCCCGACCTCCTGCCCTGGGGGGCTTCTCCTTTTACCTATCACCTTGGGGGCCAAGGGTCTTGATGCAGCTGGGTTTTCCTGCAGACCACCTCCTCCACCCTGAAGGGGGCCATTCAGCTGGGCATCGGCTACACTGTGGGCAATCTGAGCTCCAAGCCAGAGCGTGACGTGCTCATGCAAGACTTCTACGTCGTGGAGAGCATCTTCTTCCCCAGGTAGGCCCAGGCCCTGCGCCATGGAGCCGCTGTTGGGGTGCCCGACAGCCTTGCTGTTCTCTGAGTTCCCTTCTCGGCTGGAGATAGCACAGGCCTCTCCTGCCACCTTGGCTTGGAGGTCTTGCCCCGTATCAGTCACGCTATTAGTTCTTTGCCGAATCAGAGATACGTAGTATAACAGCAATTTTAAGAAAACAGGAAAAGAAAACGTGAAGTTTCTTTTTCTCTCACGTGAAGAACACTGCCTGGCAGTCCAGTGAGGCAGCTCCCCAGTGTTGAGGTCCCGTGTTCCTTCTAGTGGCTCCGCCATCCTCATGTGCAGCTTGTCCAGCCAGTGCCGTCAGGTGGCTGCCTGGGATCCTGCCCTCTCGTCTGCGTTCTACCCGCAGGAGGGAAGGGAGAAAGGGAGCACGGGACCCGTAAGGGCAGGACCTGGAAGTGCCGTGCGTTGCTTCTGCTCTCCCCTGGCTCATTGGCTGAGCAGTCACGTGACCACACCTAGCTGCCAGAGGGGCGGGGTGGACGTTGGGACACGCCTGAGACTGGCCACGCCCTTGGCCCCGGGGAGCCCCGGGCTTGTCCACCGAGGGAAGGCCTGGGGGCTCAGCCGCGGGGCGCTGCCCTGGGCGGGTTGTGCCGCTGGGGGCTGCAGGGAGTGGGGGAGGTGCCCACAGAGTGGCCGTCCCTCACCTGCCTGCCTCCCTCCTTGCTCCACAGCGAAGGCAGCAACCTCACCCCCGCCCACCACTTCCAGGACTTCAGGTTCAAGACCTACGCCCCCGTCGCCTTCCGCTACTTCCGGGAGCTCTTCGGGATCCGACCGGATGATTACTTGGTAAGAGCCGTAGTCAGTCAGCTAGTGCCGTGGGTCAAGTTGCCAGAGACACGTGTGTCTGCTACCTCCTGGTTTCTGTGGGTCGGGAATTCGGGGGCCACTCGGCCAGCTTCTTTGCCCAGCGTTGTGGTGGAGGGTGGGCTGGGGCCGGAGCCTCAGGGGGACCAGCCCAGGGGACGGTCAGCTTCCGAGCCCATGTCATTGGCGGGACCCTGTTCCTTGCCTGGGGGTCGGGGCCTCTTCCTTGGAGCGTGAACGAGAGAGCTGTCCTGTCACCTGCCTCCACTTGAGGGGAGGTGGGTCGTGGGGACCAGCTCAGCACGTTCCCTCCAGTTCTGGTGGAGTCTTAGTCTCTCAAATCAGAAAAATCAAAACCTAGGCCTAGCCTCTGATCTCACAACGCATGAGCGGGGCTCCTGGAAGTTACAGCGCGCGGGCAGGTGGGGATCAGTCTGCATTTCCGGGTGGTCTGGTGGCTGTTTGGCGACTGTATTCCGGAAGCCTTAGCCCTTGCACGAGGCACGTCCACAGCCATCGGATCTATTCCACCTGACCCCGCCACCGTCGGCCGTCCCTGGGGCCGTGGTCCTGCTGATTCTCACCCGCAGTGACTCGTTTCCCTGTGTGCCGGGAGGTCCTGCTGCGCGCACCCACTTGGTCCACGGAACCCTGTGCTCTCAGCCACGGCCGTGTCCTTCCACAGGGAAGTAGCTCTCGCTCCGGCCAGGGGTTCTCCAGGCTGTCCGGGTGCCCCTTGCCAAGGCCAAGGCCGGGTCCTCTGACCACAGCATCTGTGGCGGGCTTCACAGCGTCCGCCTCTGACCTGCCCAGGGGTCCTGCAACCTTATCGGAGCGAGGACAGCCTGATGGTTCTAGAGTGGAAATGACCCCGGGGTGACCTCGATTTTAGGTCTCGTGGGTAGAGCGGAGGCCTGGGGCATTAGCCATAGCAGTGGAGGTATGGCCTCAGGGCCCGTTAGCTGGCGTGTGCTGGCCCCAGAGTGGACACACGGAGAAGGCCAAGTTCCTGTCTCGGCCTCGAGTGGGTGCTCAGCAGATGTTCTCTGTCTTCTTAAGACCCTCCCTGATGTCGTGACAGGGTGACGAGGCCCCCTGGAACCAAGAGGCCCTCCCGCGGCAGGGCTGGGGAACTCAGACGCGGCTGGATTGTCCCCACTTGTCAACTCTGCCCCCTCAGGCTTCCTCTTTCTTCCCCAGGGGTCCCTGGGGGGCCACAGGCACCACCTTTGCCTCCAAAGACTTCCCTGGTCCTGAGTTTTGTGGGGGTGTGCCCACTGTCCCTGTTTGTGAGGGCCCTGGGCTGTCCTGTGTTAGCCTCAGCTCGGCATTGGGGGTGTCTGGGGGGGGGCACGGGTAGGGTGGGGGCTGCAGTCAGTTGACCTCAGGCCACAGGTGCCCCCCTGGCTCTGAGGGAGAAGGGGGCACACCTGGGGTCGTCTGCCCGTGACCCCACCCCAGTGGCTGGTCAGCCGGCCGGGAGGTCCGTGTATGTCACTGCTTCTCCCTCAGCAGCCCGGGCCCCATGAGGCCTGACCCCATACGTGAGGGCAGCTGCTGTTAGCCATGTGGTTCTGGAACATTCTGTGCTCATAGACTTCTTTTGTACAAAGCCACACACTCCCCGTCCACCGCTCGTTTCTCTCAGCGCTCTTCCTCTCTCCTGCTAGCTGGGGTCGGCTGCTGTAGTGCCTGTGGGGTAGCCGTGGGCTCCGGAGGCCGTGGACCCTGGCCCCCACAGGGTCCCTGCCCGCCCCTCGCTGCTGTCCTGGGAGCGGGTGGGAGGTGAGGAGGGAGACCACGGGCAGCCTGGGCGTGGGCCTCTGTGTTTCCGTGGGTATTGGTGGCTCGTGGCTGTGGGTGGGCAGCACTCGTGGCACCCACAGGAGAGGGGGCGTCCCTGCTCCTCACCTGTGTTCCCCCCTCCCCTGCCATCTGCCGGCCCCCGTGTTACACTTCAGCAACCCACAGGGTCATTCAGCAAACATTTGCTCAGCAGTTACCGTGTGGCGGGCTGGCACCGTCAGCCCAGTGGGGGACATGCTGTGGCCTCATCCATGCTGTATACCGGTGGCAGCACTCAGTCAGGATTCCGGGGGCTGCAAGGGACAGAAATCCAACGCAGACAGCCTTAGTCCTGAAAAGCACTTCACTGACTCACTAGCTGAAAAGGCCCAGGGAGAGCAGCCTGCAGGGCCTAGCTTTCCTCGCTAGGCTGGGCACTGTCCGAGGTGCTGGGGACCCTGCGTGAACAAAACCCTTAGAAATCCTTGCATCCACAGAAGGTTCCGTCTGTCCGGTGGGGAGGGCGTGTGGGGCTGCTGGGTAGCAAGCACGGAGGTGAAGCAGAGGTCAGTGGGAAGAGAGGTGGGGGTGCCAGGCACCAGGGTGGGGGCTGCTCCCCCGAGAAACAGGTCCCCCTCTCTCTGCTGTTCTGGTGCGTGGCCTCCGTACTAAAGGTCACCTTCTGGTCCAGCATAGTGACTGGGGTTCCAGCTCTCACATCATCATTCCAGGTGGAAAGACATGGGATGGAGAGAAGGGCACAAACTCGAGGTGCACCAGCTTTTGTCACTCATTTAGGGAGACAGAAGCTTCTACAGATGGCTCGTAAGCCAGAGTTGACTGTTGTGACCTCACCTAGCTGCGGGGGGGGGGGGGGGGGGGGGGGGAAGGGAGCAGTGGCCAGATGTGTCAGCCCCTCAACACAGCTGGGAGTCCTACTAACAGGAGAGGGACTGGGCCCTAGGAGATCAGCACCCAGGCTGCTGGTTAGCCTGGGTTCGAATCTGTGCTGTGTGGCCTCGGGCACAGCAGCCTCCCTCTCTGAGCCTGTTTCTTCATCTGTAAAAGGACGCTGACAGTGACCTGTTCCAGAGTTGCCCACTAGCCGCTGGGCCCGTGGGGTGTCAGCGACCCACCTGCCCACTCACTGCCCCCCCAGTACTCGCTGTGCAACGAGCCACTGATTGAGCTGTCCAACCCTGGCGCCAGCGGCTCCCTGTTCTACGTCACCAGTGACGACGAGTTCATCATCAAGACGGTGATGCACAAGGAGGCCGAGTTCCTGCAGAAGCTGCTGCCCGGCTACTACATGGTGAGGGGCCCTTCCCTGCAGCGCCCCTCCCCTTCCGGGGCTCTGCTCGTGGGGCAGGAGCCCCCGGGGCACCACCCTGCCTCGGGCAGGCCCCGGAGAGCCTTGCTGGGTCAGTGAGCCTCACCCTCAGGGTGCCCCTCACGCGGTGCCCCCTGCCTATGGCAGGCAGGAATGGCTATCCAGGCCCAAGTGGCCTTCTCCGGGCGGGGTGGGGCATGGGGGCCCGGGGGGCTGGGCACCCTCTCCACCCTCCCTGCCCATCCCTGCCCCCGCCGACATCTCTGAGTCATGGATCCCAGAAACCGTGTCTTGTGGGCTTGTGTCTCAGTAGCTGGTGACTCAGGCATGGGGGAGGGGGGCCGGGCCACCAGCTGGCGCAGGGCTCTTCCCGTTCCCCATGTGACTCACCACCAGAAAAGGCACGACAGACTCCTGGGCAAAGGTGGACGCGGGAGCCTCAGACTTCCGTCCCCCAGCCGACCAGGGTCCTCCTGCTGGCACTGATGGGGGTGGGCTCCACCCGAGTGCCCACCTGCCCTGCTGAGCCTGACCTGGCACCTGGCGGGGGTGGGGCGGGGCCTTTCTGGGCAGCTCTGCACGGACTGTGACCCATCTGCGCTTGGGGTGTCTCATCCGTATCCTATGATGCTTGGGTGGGCCCCCGGCTCCCCTGGGTCGGTGGTCAGCAGCCTCTCCCTGCCTAGCTCAGCCCCGCTGTTGCAGCAGGAAGGCCCCCGCGGGCCTCGAGGGAGTGGGCAGACGTGGCGCAGCGCCAGGGACCCTTCACTTGCTGACACTGAAATGTGAACTTCACAGAATCCTCACGTGTCATGAGATGCTAGTTTTCTGTTTCTTCCCCCGTTTTCATAACGTAAAGCCGTTTTTAGTTTGCGGCCGGCTGTGTGAAAACAAGCAAGTGGTTGCACTTGGCCTTCCAGCCAGAGTTTGCTGATCCTTGCCCTGGACGGTGTCCGGAGGCTGGGCCCCCATGTCACCCCAGGGCAGGCAAGTGGACAGCTGGTCTGGCCCTGGCACCTCGCCGTGGACCCTCCTGGAGCATCTCGTCTCAGGGGAGACAGATCCCGGCTCACATCAGGATGCTGGGAGGGCAGAGTGAGGGCCGGCCCGGGAGGGAGGTGGTCAGGGAGGGCTTCCCGAGGGCGGCTCCTGGGCGGAGCGTGGTGGCCGCAGCAGCCACTCTCCTCTGACCCTGTCCCCTCCCCTGCCACCCAGAACCTCAACCAGAACCCGAGGACGCTGCTGCCCAAGTTCTACGGGCTGTACTGCGTGCAATCGGGCGGCAAGAACATCCGCGTGGTGGTCATGAACAACATCCTGCCACGCGTCGTCAAGATGCACCTCAAGTTCGACCTCAAGGGCTCTACGTACAAGCGGCGGGCCAGCAAGAAGGAGAAGGAGAAGAGCATCCCCACCTACAAGGACCTGGACTTCATCCAGGACATGCCCGAGGGGCTTCTGCTCGACGCAGACACCTTCTCTGCGCTCGTCAAGACGCTGCAGCGGGACTGCCTGGTGAGGCTGTGGTGCCCACGCGACCCCCGTGCACAGGAGGGCCCGGGGGCCCTCGTCCCTCTGAGCCTCTGTCGTCCCCTTTGCAACACGGGGACGCTGGAGGAAGCGAGCGCCACGTGAGCCCAGATCCACGGCCCATCTTGTAGGCGTGTCCTTATGGTTTCCCCCACCCCAGCAGCCTGGGGGGTATCGTGCCTGCTCCTCTGGAGATGAGGAGCATCCCGGGCCTTCCAGAGCTCTCTGCTCCATCCTCTGGTCCCTCGGCCCACCCAGCCCGGCTCCCAGGCCTCCCCCAGACCTCTCAGGATCTGCTTCCCTGAGCCCAGGTGTCAGAGCCCTTGGGGCCAGGAGGGGTCCTGGGCTCCCCAGCTGTCGCCAGGCAGGCAGGAGCGCTGTTAGGAGGAAGGAAACCCCCTGTCCCAGCCCCGGCCCCTTGGTCTCCTGACCACGTGTGAGACGGGGCTGAGGACAGGCCCCCGTGGGGCTGTGGGGACTAAGTGGGCACAGACCCAGACGCAGCTTGGGGGCGCACCAGGCCGGGTTTGAGGAGGGGGACGGAGCGCGTGATCTCTTGGCCCCACCTCCGGCAGGTGCTGGAAAGCTTCAAGATCATGGACTACAGCCTGCTCCTGGGCGTGCACAACATCGACCAGCAGGAGCGCGAGCGGCAGGCCGAGGGCGCCCAGAGCACCGCGGACGAGAAGCGGCCGCTAGGTCAGAAGGCGCTCTACTCCACGGCCATGGAGTCCATCCAGGGCGGGGCCGCACGTGGGGAGGCCATCGAGTCGGACGACACGTAGGTGGCGCGGGGCCAGGGGGGCTTCCAGCTTGTCCGCCTGCACCCCTTGCTAGGTGTGAGGCAGGCGGGGGTAGGGGGTTTGACCAGGAGGGCAGGAGACCGTCTGCAGCCGGTTCCTGGTTTGCGTTAGAGCAGTGGCGCCCACCCACCAGACCCCACGAGGGTCACATGGGTGGACACACAGATACCCGGCTCGTGTGTGATGACCAGGGCCTTCTGGATTAATCTGCCAGCGGATTGAGGCCGTTGGCCATCCATGTGGGAAACACAGGTGTTCCCTTCTCCCACTGGAGCCCTAAACGGGTTCAGGCACCACCATCCGCAGCACAGCTGGAAAGGTGTTGAAGAAGGTGGTGGTGCTGGGAACGAGGGTGCTGGGCCCAGAGCCCCCAGGAGAACAGGCTGCTGTGATGGAGGACAAGGTCCTAGGCTCAGAGACCCCGGCTGACCCGATCCTGCCACAGGGACTCGAAGTTTGGTGGGGAGACAGACTCATGGGGCGCCCCCTCCCACCCTCCCTGCACTGCGGACACCGGGCCAGGTTGTTCTCTGTGGGGGCGTCCTGGGCCCTGGGGGGCTGAGCAGCATCCCTGGCCCCCACCCACTCGATGCCAGGAGCCCCCCCAGTCATGAGGACCACAGACATCCCCGGACATCGTCCAGTGCTTGTGGAAGGCAGTCCGGTGGGAGCTGTGTCGAGATTGACTTCTCGTCACCATACACTGAGCTGTTGGGAAGCAGTACGGCGGCGGTGGGGGGAGGGGGGGCTGGAGGAGGGGGGGCATGACCTCCCCTCATCCGCTGGGGAAACGGGGCTCAGAGATGGAAGCAGCTGTTCTGGGTGCACGGCCAGCTGGTGAGGCCAAGGCTTGCCCCTGGCCTGGCCACCACACAAGGCCAGCAGCTGCGGGGGCCAGGGAAGGAGCAGCCCCGGCCCCCACCAGGCAGGCGGGGGAGCCACAAAGACCTGGCGCGGCTGGCCCGACCTCCCACCGTCTTGGTGTTTGTAGGGTCTGCGCAGGGCCTGGCAGGGGATGGCGGGGTGCACAGGTGAGCTCAGCACCTGCGTGCCGTGAGTGCCGTAAGCAGAGCCTGCGGGGGCCTGGGCCTGGCGGATCTGGGGTCGTTGGTGACCTGAGGACAGTCGCTGCCTTGTGAGCCCTCACTAACCGCGCTGGGCCGGGCACGGGTGGGCCTGGGACTGAGTGAAGCCACTAACTTCCCAGATGGCACCCAGAAGCTCTGGTGGCCCTGCCTGGACTGAGCGTGTGCATGGGTGTGCATGGGCGTGCGTGTGCACATGGGCATGTGGGTGCTGGGCCCTTCAGCCACCTCCAGCTTCGAGTGGAGTGTCCAAGAGGAGTGGAGAGCGGCCCAGTCCCAGCCGTGCCGCCACCTGCAGGGAGCATATGGGCTGTGGCTCCTTCAGTCTCCCCAGCAGGGGGCTCCTGGCAGGGCGAGTCCGGTGGGAAGCTGCTCGGTGGGGTGCTGAAGGCCCTCGCCCCCTCTCTCGCCAGGATGGGCGGGATTCCTGCCGTGAATGGCCGAGGGGAGCGTCTGCTGCTGCATATCGGCATCATTGATATTCTGCAGTCCTACAGGTGGGAGCCCGCCCCGCCTCCCTCTCCTCTCCTCCCCCCACCTCCCCCCCCCCCCGCCTCCCCCCTCCCCAGATGCACCCCCTTGCTCACGGCAGCAGTGTGCCCTCTGCTGTCAAGACTTCCTTAGTCCCAGCTCCCCTGCCCCCCCCACCAAAGACTCCCAACTGGCCGCCCGGCCCTAAAGGGAGGCATTTGGTCCCCAACCTGGTGACGCCACCTTCATCAGGATTTGTGCTAGGAACATGGTGAGAGCTCCTGTCAGACAGAGGCTGAGGCTGGCATAGGGCCTGGGAGTGGGTGGGGTGTCGCCAGCTCATCTTCTGTCCAGCTCTGTCTGTTGAGCACCTACTGTGTGCCAAGCACTGGGCTAAACAGAGCAAGACGGAAGCACCCCATGGCCGGGAGGCACAACATCCCTGGACAGCTCACCCGGTGGGCAGGAATAAACGCTCATGGCTGGAGCCACATGTTGTGTGGTCTCAAGCGTGGCAGAGCCCAAGGAACAGATACTCAGGCCTTACCCGCAGCTTAGAGCTGGGGTGTCGGCAGCCCTGTTACCTGTGCTTGTCCTTTATGAGGTTTCAACAGTGAGTGTGTCTTAATCGTTAGTGTTTTTTATGAGGGTACTGTATGTTCCTTATGCACGATCCGGACAGGATGGAGGGGGCATTATGGGCACGGGGGTCCCCACTTCCTGTCTACTCTCTCAGGAAGCCCACTGGGCACTGGGTGATTTCTTCCTTGCGTCTTTCTTTCCCAAATACGAAACTCAGCTCCTGCTCATCAAACACTAATATTTGCAGCCTGTTTTCCTACCTGAGGGCAAACCTCTGCCGTAGGGGTATCCCTCTTGATTTAAAGCAGGACTAAGAAGCTTTTGAAGCAGCAAACCAGGGTTTCCGCAGAGGCTCTGAGCCGAGGCAAGGAGGGTGGGCCAGCACGTATCAGGCAACGACAAGCTCATCCTGGGGCTGGGGGTGTCATAAGGGGGTGTGTGCTGAGGAGAGGACCCTCCCCCACTGCGGACTAGGGGCTGTCCAGGAAGTCTGCCTGGAGGAGGCACCATTGTCCCCAGCCCAGGTGCGCAAGGGCCTAGTTAGAGCCACAGTGCCAGGCACTAATTCCAGCTGAGGGGACCAGGGCTCAGCCTAGGCCATGAGGACGGGAAGGATGTACTCTGGGGGGGTGCTGGCCGTGAGCCCCCACAGGGGTCAAGCACCGCGGCCTTTTCACTTCCTCTCCAAGAGTAGCCGTGATAGGAGCTGCCAGCAGGCCGGGCAGAGGGGACAGGAAGAGGGAGGTGGCTTCTGGCTGGTGCAGCAGGTAGCCTCAGTTCCTCTAGACCGGGGCTCCCCACCCACTTGGTGCCAGGAGCACCCCCAGTCGTGATGACCACAAATGTCCCCAGACATGGCCCAGTGTCCCCTGGACCCGAAAGTTTGGCAGGTGTTCAGTTCTTTCTTCTCTCTGCAGGTTCATCAAGAAGCTGGAACATACTTGGAAGGCTCTCGTCCATGACGGGGTGAGCAGCATTCATTTGTTCGTTAGTCTACAAATGTAATGATCTCCCGGGGCCATGACAGAAGACGTGTTCCCTCCTTCCTGGAGTCACCATCCAAGGAGGACAGCCCTGTGACCCGGCAGTCACAGGCCAAGGGGTCGGGGTCAAGACGGGAAAGCACAGGCAGCTGGCCGTAGGCTCTCTAGTGAGGGGTCTGATCTCTACTGGTGAGGGGTACAGAAAGGCTTCTTGGAGGAGAGGACCCCCAAGCTGAGTTGGAAGGATGCCCAAGGACAGCCTGACCAGGAAAGTCAGGGGCCAACTAGGCAAAGAACACTCTGGAAATGTGCCGCAATAGGGAGGGGCTCATATGGGTCCAACTGCACAGCACTGACCCATTGCCACGAGGGGTGTGTCCTGCTCCAAAAGTCTCCACTGCTTGAGAATAACTTGGAATGTGCTTTTTCCTGTCAATGCTGCCAATATATTATTTCCAAATATAGAAGACTGTGAGGACCAACTGCTGGGGAGCAAACAGAGCCCACCTGGGGGCCCGAGGCAGCCCTGGTCCAGCTGTGCTGATGAGCTGGCTGGGGCCTCAGATGCACACCTCTCCTCCCATGGCCCCCTTCAGACCAATTCTTAATTAAAGTGCTAAGGGCGCTCTGTGTTCACATAGTCTGTAAGAGCCTCTGACACCCCTCAGAGAGTGTTTGGAGGGTTCAGATGGAAGCTTCCAGAAAGTGCACCAAGAAGGTCCAGGGGGCAGCCAGTCAGCAGGAAGCCCTTTCGTGGTGTTAGAAAGCCATGGCAGACGGGAGAGTTGCCAAGTCCTGGTGAGGCCACTTGTAATCTCCAAAGTAAGCTTTGGCTCAGCTCCTGGGGGTCCAGATGTTGATCAAAGTAACCATACAGGCATGAGCAGTCCGGGGCAGGTAGGGTGGCCCGTGGGGTAGAAGCCCAGGTTCTTCTGGGCGTGGCCCTCGGCCCCTAGCCCAGGTGGCTGGCCCCCCACAGCACTCTGGACAGAGGAGAGGGCAGAAACTCTGTCCCTACCTTGGCTCCCTTGCCCTGGGCCAGAACATGGTCCTGTGGTCACGCCTTGTTGCAGCAAGGATGGGAAATGTAGTTTGCCTTCTGGGGGCTGTGTGTCCCTATGGGTTCTGTTATATTGCAGCAGGCGGAGGACCCGGGCCATGTCTGGGGACGTCTGTGGTCGTCACCCCTGGGGGAGCTCCTGGCATTGAAGGGGTGGGGGAGGGATGCTGCTCAGCCTCCCAGTGCCCAGGATGGTGTCCGCCGTGCCGAGGGGAGACTGTGCCATAGAAGGCGAGGCCCCTGGACCGTGGGGAGTAGCAAGGAGTCCCCGCCTTAAGGGACCCAACACTGCAGGAGCACCAAGTGTGCTGGGCACCCTCCTGTACGGACGGCAAGCGTAGCCCCGTCCAGCCTCCCTGTCGCACAGATGAGGAAACAGCTCTGAGAGAGGCCGTGTGTTGCCCAGGGTCACCATCCGGTGAGCGCCGCGACAGTCACATCTGCCTGGCTCCAAGTTAACACCAGCTGCCACTTGTCCCCAGAGCAGGTGTAGCTGGGTGCCACCAAACATTACTTACAATACAGGCGTGCAGCCGTCCTTCGCTGACCCCTGCTTTAGAGAATTCTTCGGGTTTCCTTATCATATTTATTCGTTTACTTCTTTGAATTGCTGTTTGATTCACGCGGTTCAAAGGATTAAAAATACAGATGGGTTTATAATGAAAAAATGTCCCTCCCGGGCCCCTCCCCACCAGTTATGTCCTTCCTGCCAGCCCCGTGCTGTGGACCCATCTCCCTGTCCCGCTGCCGCCGTGTGGCCCGGGCTGGCCTGCGGGACATGGGGAGCACTGGTGGCGCGGCGGCACCCAGCCCCTGTTGCCCACGGGCCCCACTTCTCTCCCCAGGACACAGTCTCTGTCCACCGGCCCAGCTTCTACGCGGAGCGCTTCTTCAAGTTCATGAGCAACACGGTCTTCCGGAAGAATTCCTGTGAGCTTCCCAGGCCCTCTGGGCAGGAGGTCGCCGGGGGTGACGCCGGGGGTGCTGAGCGGGGAGGCGGGGTCGCCAAGAGCGGGGTAAACCCAGAGCCCCTCCTCCTGCCAGGTGGCCGTCCGTGGGCCTCGGTCAGGAACTTGGTCCAGACAACAGGGGAGTCAGGACGCTACCCTCCTGGGGCCCAGCACGGGGCCTGAAGCGCACTGTCTGAGCTTGAGTTCAGGCTCCATTGCGTCCTGCCTGTGTGACCTCAAGTGGGGTCGCCCTGCTCCATGCCTCAGTTTTCCCATCTGTACAGAGCTGTGAGGGCAAGGTGTGTTTACACAAGAGTGTCTGTCCTCAAGGGGGGCCACCTGCAGCCTCGTGTCCTCACCAACGAAACACGGCCTTGGCGGACACGGAGGCAGCCGGGCATCAGCCAGACCGGGCATTGTCAAGGAGGGCACAGGACAAACAGAGGCGGCCCGTGCCCTGTGGGTGGCCTCAGGAGGTCCCCTGTCTGTGCTGGGCCTCAAGTCCCAGACCCTGGTGCACACTCCAGGCCAGGACCCCACATGCTGCCTGGAAGGGTCTTTCTCCCCATGTGTTTGTCTGCCACCTGCACCCTGTTCCCTGTGCGTCCAGCAGGCAGCGTGCTTGGTCACTCTGTGTCCCCAGCGTCTAGCCTGGGGCCCAGCACGCAGTAGGTGTTCAGTGTCATTGGTGGGAATGGTCTCAGTGTGCACCTTATTTTCCGGGCTCCACACCGCAGGAAGTGGGTCCCCAGAGGCAGCAGGGGCAGGCAGGCCTACTGCCCAGCGTGCGACGTGGTCTCCCAGCCTGGGCCAGGCCTGTGTGGGCGGCAACCCAGCCCCGGTCACCCGGAGCCGGCTCGTGGAGCCAGCGCGACTCCACATTCCCTGACATCGAGCCAGTAGCTTGAAATCGATGGCAGTGGGATTATTTACGTTGTGGAAATTGGCAAACACCACAATTCTGGCCGTTGTCTCTTGAGAGCGGGTTGTTCATCGTTATCAGCACACCGCTTCTTAGAACCTTCCCCAGGGCATCATTCTCACTGGTCCAGAGGGGATGCCAGCCTCCAGGGACCGGAGGGCTGCTCACAAGGTGAATTGAGCACCTCCCGTGTGCCGGGTGTTGTGCTGGCCATCACGGGGGCAGAGTTCACAGGAAGAGCAGGGAGAACATGGTGATGGTCACTGACAGGGTAGGCCGGGTGCAGAGGGCGTCACGGGGTCACCCGCCTTGTCTGGCCCTGTTACTGCAGATGAGGATGCTAGGGCTCAGAGGGGCTGACCCGCATTTCCCAGGCCCCTCATCCGGGATTGGAGCCAGGCCCTTTGTGCTGAGCCCCACATGGCCCAAGGCCTCCGGTTCCTTGTCTGAAAGTGGAGGACATGGCCAAGGTGGGCTGGGACCAAGGGGGCTGGGAGCCTGGGACCTCTGGAGGCAGAGCTGGGTAGAAAGCAGGACAGGGTTTTCTCTGCAAAGAATATTGCTTCTTGCCCAGGCTTGAGGGCCGGGCTGGAGGCCAGGCGACGGGGGCCGTGTGTGCAGGTGGCAGGCATCAAGGGGGGCCAACCAGGCTATCATGCAAAGGAGGGATTAGGGGCTGGTGGGGCCCTGCCTCGGTGCTGCCACGGGGCCCCCAGGCTGCCCCAAGCGCCAGTCTACCTCTCTCCACAGCCCTGAAATCCTCGCCGTCCAAGAAGGGCCGTGGTGCCTTGCTGGCCGTCAAGCCCCTGGGGCCCACAGCTGCCTTCTCAGCCAGCCAGATCCCCAGTGAGCGGGAGGACGCACAATATGACCTCCGGGGGGCCCGCAGCTACCCCACACTGGAGGATGAAGGTGACCGGGCAGGCTGGGGAGTGGGTGCTTTGGTGACGGGAGAGAGAAGGGGGCTGCTGGGGAAAGGCAGTGTCCCTGGGGAGCTGGGAGGGGAGGGCACACAGGGAGCAACCCAGTGTGAGGAGGGGTTTCCTGAAGCTAGTGACCTGGGTGAGAGGGGCCTGGGTCACAGTCACCCCCCGCATCCCAGCCCAAGGTCTGCAGCCATCTGGGGAGGGGGAGCAGCTGGGGCTGTAATAGGGAGAGCTGAACAGAGAAGGTGCCACCCGAAGAGGTGACCCACCCATCACCAGATGTCCAGAGACCTAGAGGAAGGAAGCACTTGACGGGGTTGGGCATGATGTTTTGGAAGGTCCCTCCCGGTTCCCAAGGTTAAAGAGTCAAAGATTACAGGCAGGGAGGGGCTGGGGAGGGGGGAATAGCATCCAGGAAGGGAAAAACTGCAGGTGCAAAGGCCCTGGGGCAGTACAGGGCCTGGTATGTTGGAGGGACAGCAGGAGGCCTGTGTGGTTGGAGCAAAGTCAGGGAGGTGGGGGAGAGAGAAGAAGCGGGCGGGTTGACAGGACCTGTGGGCCTGAGGAGGGTTTGGATTGCGGTTTGAGAGTAGGTGGCTATTGGAAGCCTTTGTGCAGAGGGTCAATTCGAAAGTATTTGCCCTCTTAAAGCTGCCGAGCAGAATGGAGTGTTGGGTGGCAGGTGGGGCCGGGGCCTGGATTGCTGAACGTGAGCCAAGCTGCAGGTGGAGCCAGAGGCCTGGAAGGGCTGCCGCAGGTGCCCACAGCCCTCTCCCCACAGGTCGGCCCGACCTCCTGCCCTGCACGCCGCCATCTTTTGAGGAGGCCACCACCGCCTCCATCGCTACTACCCTGTCCTCCACGTCTCTCTCCATCCCGGAGCGATCGCCCTCGGAGACGTCCGAGCAGCCGCGGTACCGGTGAGGGGCCTGGGCTGTCTCTTTCCGTGAGGTGGGGGCGGGGGGCCTCCCACTCCCCCCCGCCCCCCGTCTACCCTTTTTGGCCCCTCTGCGGGGGGGGCCCCCAGTCTTCGGGCCAGGGGGGGCGGGGGGCGGGGCCCCCCCGCCCCCCCCCCCCCCCCAGCCGCCCCGCCCTCCGGGCTCCCCGCAAGGCCCCGCCCTTCCCCCCGCCCCCCTTGCACCTCCTGCGCTTTCCCACCCAGAGCTCCGCCTCTCTGCCCCGCCCTTCCCCCCTCCCCCCTTGGACCTCCTGCGCTTTCCCACCCAGAGCTCCGCCTCTCTGACCACTTTTCCTGGGCACAGATTTAAGTTAGGCTCTCGAACTGCACAGAATCTTGAGTCACTTTGTCCTCCTCTCCACACACATACCCGGGGGGGGGCGGGCAGAAGCCCCCTCCACCTGCGTGCTGATCCTTTTTTCTTTTTATTAAGTATTTTTATTCTAAGAGGTACAAAAGAGAATATAGTGAGACACCTCCCCCTGCCGCATGCCTCTTCCCCTCCCTGGGAGCAACCCCGGGACGGGTTTTTTTCCTCTTTCTACAAATATTTTATGAATATACAAGAAAACAAACCTACGGGCCTGTTTCTGCCTGTTGTCTTGCCACCAGCCTAGCTCGGTGCCCCTTGCTTGGCGCACTCAGCAGATACAGGTCATCTGTGAGCAGGTGGAGCGCCTGCGGGCTTTCTTCCGTCTGACAGAATGTAGCCTGCCCTCGGGGCTCTTCGGTTGTTGCCAACTCGACCACAGTGAATAGGCCTTGTTGCTTCCCTTAGTGTTGGGGCAGTTATTCCTGCCATTTGAAAAAGAACAAAACCTCACCACCGAAAACACATTGGGCAGAATGCACTTCCCTCTGTCCTGCTGCCTGCTCCCACCTCGGCGGCCTTTCTGCTCTCTAGTGCTGCCATCCAGAGTCTGCATGCCGGGCCACCAGAATGTTCTGACACACCGACAGCAGGGGCCTGGACCTTTGAAACCCCTAGAACCACCCCACCCCGAGGCCAGGCCCCAGGCCAGTGCTCAGCTACCCCCCGGGAGGGTGGGCAGGATCCAGGCCACCATTCACAGATGCCCCTGCTGGTACCAGAGTCACAGGATGGCCCCAGGTGGCCAACGTTTGCCCCCTTGCAGACCCCAGGTGGGCATGACCGCCCGAGGGACCAGGAGTGAGCTGGGCCAGCTCAGGGCACCGGTCAGATGGCACCCACAGAGAGCACCCCATGGAGGCTCCCAGCAGGGCTGGAGATCCGCGCTGGCCTGGAGCTTGGCTGGCGCCCCTGGGGGGCAGAGTTAGGGTGAGGAGAGAGAGTGAGGTGCAGCTTCCCACTGCCTCCAGGCCCCAGGAGGAGACGCATGCGGAGGAGGACCTGCAGCAGATCACGGTGCAGGTGGAGCCCGCGTGCAGCGTAGAGATCGTGGTCCCCAAGGAGGAGGACGCGGGGTGAGTGTCCTATTGCCGGACTCGCACACGTGCGTCTGCTCTGATCTCATTGGCTGAGCATGGTCACGTGGCCAGCTGGCAGCAAGGCAGGCTGGGGAATGTAGTCCACGTTCTGGGCAGGGAGGGGGGGTGAGGGGAGGCTGGGAATGGGGCCTCCCACTGGAAAGGGGGGGATGCCGGGCGTGGGAACCAGGCAGTCTGTGCAGGGGCCGCTGGGGGCTGGCACTGCTGCCTCATCAGGGCCTCTGATCTCCGGCAGAGCTGCAAGTGAGGTGTTAATCCTGGCGTTCTCACCCACCGTGGCCCGGAGCCCCCGGCTTGCGGGAGGGGGCTTTCCGGTCCCCCTGGGAGCCACCTCTGGACGCAGTCCCCTTTCCCAGCTGTGTTGTGTTCCTGTGTCATTCACTTCCACTCTTCCTTAATGCCTTCCTTCCAACTTCTGGTTTGTCTCCGTGTATGGTCCTCCCTTTCTGGCGGAGGTCGAATGTTTGGGCTCCTTTTTTTCTGCAGCTGCTGTTCTTGGCACTGCGCTCCTGCCGTGTTCCGTGGGTTCAGTGGGAGGCAGGTGTTTTCTACTGGCTCTTTGATAGAGGGCAGTGGCCTTCAGCCACCGGGGACACAGGGCAGGGTCTGGGGACACCTGTGCTTGTGACCCCGGGGCTCCTGGTGCCGAGGGCATGAGGCCAGCGACGCACTCCCACCAGTACCCGGGACCCCCTCAGAGAACTGTCTGGTTCACCCACCATGGTGCCACGGGGGAGAGACCCTGCTCTAGGGTTTATTTACAAGTGTCTCTCAACTTCCCAGGATTTGAAGACCTGTTTAGGTGTTTAGTACTTATGTCTATTTTAATTCAGTTACAGGTTCAAGAAAGTGGCCTTTAAAAGTGGATGTATATTTTATTTTTTTTTAAGGTTTTACTTATTTACTTGACAGAGACACAGAGAGGGAACACAAGCAGGGGGAGTGGGAGAGGGAGAAGCAGGCTTCCCGCTGAGCAGGGAGCCCAACGCGGGGCTTGATCCCAGGACCCTGAGATCATGACCTGAGTCGAAGGCAGACGCTTAACGACTGAGCCACCCAGGCACCCCTAAAAATGGATGTATATTTTAAAAACGGATCAAAGCCTTCACGGTCAAATACGAAATTCATCTTTTTTTAAAGATTTTATTTATTAGAGAGAGAAGAGAGAAAAAGCTGGGGGGAGGGACAGAGGCAGAGGGAGAAGCAGGCTCCCCACTGAGCAGGGAGCCCGATGTGGGGCTCAATCATAGGATCCTGGGTTCACGGTACTTAACCAACTGAGCCACCCAGGCACCCCAAAATTCATTTTTTAATGTCAGTGGGCGTGTGGGAGAAACCTGTGTTCCCTGTTGAGGGATGGAACGTTCGGACCTGGCCGTGTCCAGTGTATTGATCCGTTGCTTTACATCCTTACTTGTTGGTCCCATTTGGTCTGTTTGGTTCTGTGTTTGCATTGTTATCAAATTTTTCTTGCTTGCCTTGGGATTTCTGCTTTACATGCTTTTAAAATTTCTCTTCTATCTCAAGACACCTTACTTAGCGGTAATACACACACCCCCAGCCTGCACTTTGCCATCAAGAATTATGTCACAGATATGCAGATGGACATGCAGTGTGACACACTTTTCAGCCTCTGTCCCCAAAACAGCCCACCCTCCCACGCGGCTGGAGAGCCAGCTCTCTGTGGTTACAGGTGCCCCCCATTTCGGAGCTGGGCATTTTGCTCATGAGATGGAAATTGTACCCCAATCACCCGGCCACCAACTGAGGCCGAGGCCTGGGCCTCGCCTCACCTTCCACCTGGAGCCTGTTTCCCGTCTGTAACTCAGGACAGCAGCAGCCCCCGCCCTAGGGGAGAGTTGCTGGGTGAATTCATGCCAGGCTCTTGAAAGGGCCTGGCACATAGTAAGTACGCAGTGAAGATTACGGAGGTTCTGGCCCCAACATGGGGGTGGGTGCCAGCTGTCCCTACTTTACAGATGAGGGTACTGAGGCTGAATGATGGGAAAGGACTTCAGGGTCACCCGGGGGGTGAGTGGTGAGGCGCACCTGCCCACCCGTGTGTGCGCTTGAGCAGGGCTGGGTAGGGACTCACCTGTTAGTGGGCGGGCAAATCCTCCTCACCCTTGCCTCAGAGGCATTTGGAGGTGGGGGGTTTGTTTTATTCGGCTTCCTGAGTCTTTTGTCTCTGTGATGACCTCCTGATGCGAGGATGGGAGGCGAGCTGGGGCTGGGGCTGGGGCCACAGGTGCTGTCCAGAGCCCCACCTCAGGACTCCCGTGTCGGCGTGTCCCCAGGGTGGAGGCTTGCCCAGCTGCTGCCGCTGCTGAAGCAGAAACCACCAGCCAGGCCTCGGAGCCCGCCAGCCAGGCCTCGGATGAGGAGGACACACCTGCCACGGACATCTACTTCGTAAGTCCCCTGTGGCTCCTTCTGTCTCCTGGTCCTCGACCAGACACACACTGCCATGCACACACACCCACGCACACTCACGGGGCACTCATGTGGACACGGTGCTCTCACTGGTCAACACTCACATCCGTATACTCTTGCACGACCAGTGTGCCCTCACACGCATTCACACTCACACGCTCCCATGGCGTGGGAGCGCCCTGCCCCTCGCTGGCCAGGCCAGGCCACTCCAAGGCTAGGGAACTGCCCCGTCCCTCCTCCCCAGGCCTTGTGACCACCACCAGGCCACTGGGCAAGGCCCAGGTCCTAGCCATGCCACCGCGTCTCCCTAGGAAACATCTGGAGTCCTTAAGCTCTGAGCCCCACTGGGCCCCCTTCGGTCCTGGGCAGACCCGGGGCCAGCCACTGAGGGCTGCAAACTGTGTGGATCTTCTCCCGCTGGGTGGCGGGCGCAGCTAGGTGGGTTCTGTTCTCAAGGAGGCCAGGGGATTATGTGCTTCACGCTGCCCTCCTCACTGGCCGAGGACTCATGGCTGCGCCCTGATGGGGCGGGGTCTGTTGGAGCAGGAAGGGGCCCTGCTCCAGGGACCCAGGACCTCTCTTCCAGAGCAGGGGGTCACCTACCCCTTTGCATCTCCCATAGGCAGACAAATTAGCTGGGCTGGGAGCCTGGGTGAGGTGGGCGCGGGGTGGCCAGGGAGCCTTCAGAGTCCGGTCCAGTGACCGCCCCCCACCCCTGACAGTGGGTCCTGAGGCTGCCTTCCTCGGGCAGCCCTATTCAGTGGTCAAAGGGCCTTATGCAATGAAGGGGACTGCCTGTCCTTCCAGGCTTTCAGTCCTGTCTCTGCCCCCGTGGCCAGTGAGCTGGGGGCCCGAGGCCATGACTGCCTTATATAGCACCACCCTGCTCTCTGTCTTGGGGCCTCTGTCTGGCTTTGAGAAGTGACAGGCGCATGCACTGTGTGTGTGTCCCCACACTCGCCGTCAGCTCCCCGTCCCTGGGTGCTTGGTTTGTGTCCCACCCTGTGGCTCAGCGTGTGAGGCGGCCCCAGGGGGCCGTGTCCTGTGTGTGCGTCTGGGTCCTGACACCTGAGTGGGTGGCCAGGCCCTGCGGGCAGCGGAGAACATAGCGGACCACAGTGGGCCCCCACCACTCTGAAACTCACCTCCCGCTTGGCCATCGGCTTTCCTGCCCCTGCCCAGCGCCCTCCCCACCTGACCGCCCGCCAGATTCCTGTTGCCTCATCCTATGCTCTGTTTGCTTCCTCCCCGCCCGCCCGGCCCGCCCAGTTCACCGATGGGAGGTACTGGATTTACTCTCCCCGGCATCGCCGACTGCGGGCCGTGACGCTGAGCTCCTCAGGGACTGTAAGTGACCACAGCAGGCGTCCAGGGAGCCCAGCCCCCGGTCCACCACCCTGGGCAGCAGGGAGCCACAGGTCCTGGCTGCCCCTCGTCCCCTGAGAAGGGACTTGGGGAAAGAATCACTACGACTGAGGCCGGTCGTGTGTCCCCCAGCGATGTCACTTAGGTCCCTCTGAGGTGAGCATTGCTAGGCCTGCAGGCTCACAGCCATGGCTAAAGGGACTTGGCTGCAGGGGTGGGGTCTGCATCTGACCCTGGCCCCTGGCTGCCTCTGCCCCTCTCCCCAGCCTGCCTGAGTCAGGGACAAGTCGGTGGACACTTGTCCTGTATTCGGACCTGGCTGCCGATGGCTCCCCAGGGAAGCAGGGCAGTCATGTGGGTCAGCAAAGCCAGGCTCTTAACTGCAGGAGGGAGGAGATGTATTTCCATACCCACTTCACAGTTGAGAAACCAAGGTCTCGGCTCCCCAGAAAGCCCACAAGAGGGCATGGTTTAGGTAAAATCGGGGTCCAAATTCCCAAGCAGCCCCCGTGTCTAGTAGATGCTCATCTGTCTATTGTGTTTGGGACGCTGTGTGGATATCATGTAACAGTAGTATTCTCAGGACCTATTACTCTCCTCACGAGCAATAGATGAGGGGCCTAGAGAGGCCAAGTAACCTGCCCAGAGCCACACAGCGCTCAAGCAGGCAGAACAGGTTGAAGTCCTGAAGCAGGAGTTTCTGTTCTCAAGATGAGGCCCCTCGGAGGCTCACACCCCCAGCCCCAAATGCCTCTGAGCGTCACTGGGTGTCCAGCTCTGCCGAGCAAACCCAAGAAATGAAAACCACTTCCCCAGACATTCCCACCATGCTGTGTCCTGCTGAGACAGGGATGCCACACCCCTAAAATGATCCAAGAGCTGAGGACGCACAGCAGGCCCTGAGGGCCGCCCACCGGGGGGAACAATTTGTAAAGGCTGCCTGCAGAGGGGTTGACCCCAGGGTGTGGGGATTTGGGAGAAGGAAGGGTGGGCTTCGTGGAGGGCACAGCGGAAGCTGGTGGGGGGCACATAGGAGCAGAGGGAGCAGCAAGTATGAAGGCTGGGTGAGTGGGAGCAGACCCTAGCGCCTGCAGTGCTGGGGAGGATGTGTCCTTGGCCCCACTTTAGTGGGGTCATCACGGGGTTCTGGGTCCTGCTGCCCGTGATCCCTCCGTCCGCCGGGACCAGCTCTTTGCAGAGTTCAGGTGGAGACCTTCTTGTCCCACGTTCTTGTCCCCTGGCTCTGAACATTGATGTAGCTGCCCTGTGTTGGACACTGGGCACGAGCAGCCCCAGACAGACCCTGCCCCCGGACTTCTGGGCAGGCTGGGGTTTTTGTGCGCTGTGACCACTAAGCAGTGAGCAGGGCCTATGCGCCATTATACCAGTTCATCCGCTGAGGATGATCTTCAAGGCGTGTGTGGCCCTGGGCCAGGTGCTCAGACAAGAATGAGCTGCCCATGGTGCCCGGTGGGCCAAGTGCCTCCTGCGGGTGCCACGGTCTGGCCCGTGAGGGCAGGTTCTGCAGCGAGAGCTGTAGGAGGGGCAGGGAGGAGTGGGCACAGAGGTGGGGAGAGGCAATGGGGGCCCCAAGGGGCAGCGAGGGCAGGGGGGCCTGCATTCACCCGGAGAGCACAGAGGCCACATGCTGGCGCTTGTCCTTCCCCAGGCTCTGAAGAAGGCACCCCTGCAGAGGCGAGGCTGGTTGTAGAGACCTGACCGAGGAGGGGCAGGTCTGGGGGCTCGTTGGGTTGTGGCCTCCGTGGGTTTAGCCAGGGCAGGTGCCTGCTCAGGCCCCGTGCTCCGAGCAGAGGCCAGGCAACGGGGTAGGTCCACAAGCGCTGAAGACTGGGAGGTGGGGGTGCGCGGGAAAGAGGAAGAAGAAAGAGGAGAAGGGGGCTGGGGGGGAACAGACTCAGGAGGGACTGGTGTGGGTGCTGGAAGAACATGCGGCCCCCCCCCGAGTCTGAGCCAGAATGGGGAACCCTTTCCCTGACACCCCTGGAGGAAAAGCAGCCCACCCTCTGGCTGGGCCTCTGTTGTTTGCTCTCCGGGTGCCCGGGGCCTTTGTCTCCCCTGGCCGATCTGTGCGTTTGGGCACGAGGAAATGGGCTCCACCCTGCGCGCCCCACGGCACTCATCACCCAGGACCCCCAGTGGAGGGTCCTCAGGGCCCCGCCCCGGCTGGCGGCCCCGGTGGCCACACAGCAGGCAGGACCTGAGGCTGGGGTGCTGCCGGGCGCCCCGGGAGGCCCGAGCAGGAGGGACGACCAAGAGGGCGGAGCAGGAGGGGAGGGGACAGCAAGCAAACCCCGCCCCGCCCCGCCCCCTCCCGCTCCGCTGTACCAGGCCCCGCCTTGCACTCCGCGCCCCGCTTCCTGCCGCCTACCCCGCGCGCTGCCGCCGCTCCGCCCCGCCGGCCCCAGAGCCGTCCAGGTTGGGGTAGGGCCCGTCATGGGGAGGGCCGCGGGGGCTGAGCCGCCTACTCGTCGTCCGCGTTGGGGTCCGCCTCCTTTATTTCTGTTTCTTCCTTCCTCCTCTCGCCTCTCTCGCGCCTCCTCGCACCCCTGCTCTTCTGCGCCCTTCCTGCACGTGCACCCGCCCGCCCAGCCCACCGATGAGAGGAGCTGGGTGTACTCCCCGCTTCACTATAGCGCGCACGCCCACCCAGCCTCCGACGGCGAGAGCGACACAGTAAGTGCGCCCGCGGCTTGCCACGCCCTGGGCCGGGGCTTCGGACCGCGCGCACCGCCCCACCTGCCCAGGGACCGGCCGGGGAGACGGAGGCCGGGGGCGGCCGGGGGCGGGGCAGCCACCCCGCAGGTGGGGGTGCCGCCCGGCCCCACCGCTGCCCTCACCCGCCCCCTTGCCTTCCGCAGTAATTTCTATGCACTCACCGCCCTGGAGCCGAGCGCCCGCCGCCGCCGCCCTGGCCGCTTCGCGGAGGCACTGCCCGCCCGCCGGACCCGCCTCCGCCGCCGGCCGCCGCCGCTCCTGTCAACTACCTATGACTGTGAACCTCCCTGAGTGTCCGATCACGTATTTATTTTGGGTCCTTACTCTTTGCACAAAGACGGCAGCACAGGTGTGCTTTTTTAGAAAAAGATTAAAAAAAAAAAAAAAACGTGTGGGAAAAAGGAAGAAAGTCCACTCCACTGCACTTTGTAGTTCTTTGCTGTGCTTGCATGTGTCTCCTTGAGGGAATAAGGCCTGTTGGCTCCGGGGACCTGTGCCCGGAGCTGAGATCCACACTCCGAGGTTCTGCCGCTCTCCACTTGGACGGGGTGCCCCCGCGCCCGCAGGCACTCTGGGCTCAGGCACTGGACATCCGCCCTTGGAGGTGGCTGACCAGTGGTCTGGGGGCGGCTCTCCACCCCCCCCTCCATGTTTCCACCACCTCACCTGCCAGGTGACTCGGGAGCAGGAATGGCTAGGAGGCCACTCCTCTCCATGGAGCTCAGGACTGTGGGCCTCTCTGTCCTCCCCATGCGGCCTGCTCGGTATCTCGCAGAGAGGGCCTGAGGCCTACGTGAAGGGAGACGCGCTGGGCCCTCAGGCCGTGGGACTTCCAGAGAGCGGGTCCTGGAGCAGGGGCCCTCTCATGGTCAAGTTGCTCTGCTGTCCAGTAAGAGATCCTCCTCCAGGACCGGGAAGGGCTTTCTTTTCCTTTTGAGGTGGTGACGTGTAAACAACTTAAAGGATAGGAGACAAAGTTCTTTGTGAAAAACACAATAAATTTTGGGGGGTTTGTCATCTTCAGGAGCAGCTCCCCCCGGGCTCAGAGACCCCACTGGATCCAGAGGGGACTATGGGAGCCGCTGGCATGGTGGGGTCTGTCCTGCCCCCACAGAAATGCCCTCCCACCTCTTGAGAGGTGGAACAGTGGGGATGGTTTCCCCCAGCCCGCTCTGCCCCCCGCCCCCCACTGGCTTGCTTGCTTGGGAGGAGCTAGGAGCTGGCTTGGAGCAGAAGCTACACCTGGAAGAATTTCTCCCAGCCCTTGCCTTCCTGGCGGAGAACCCACTGATCCAGGAGTTTGATTTTCTGAGTCCCTCGTCTGGGTCCCTCACCTGCTGTCATCTCCCCTCGCACGGCTCGCTTTGTGCGCCTGGAGGGAGCCTGTTGGACTGGCTGCCTTCTGTCCAGGACGGCCAGGGACGCGCCAGCATGCAGCCTGGGGAAGGCAGCCCTGAGAGGATCCATCAGAACAAGCCTGTGGGCGTCCCAGATCAGAAGCAAAATGATGCCCTCTCCTTGTTGCCCTAGGGGGCTTTGTCCAGACGGCAGGAGGTGTCCTCACCTGGATTTCAGATGGGCATCTGTCTGCAGGTGCCCTGGCTGCATGCCTTGAGTCGCCAGTCCGTCCCTACCCCTTCCTGCCGAGGAGGTGAGCAAGCAGAGGCCTGGAGGTACATCTCAGGCCTTGAAGACTAACAGGGACGACTGTGTCACCCAAAAGCCGGCATTGGAGTCCCTGCCCAGGCCCCAAAGGCCGGATGTTCAGGCACGTTGTGAGTTCTGTGGGGATGACCAGAGCAGCACGCACAGTCCTGGAGCAGTGTGCCCCGTGTCCAGGGCATCCTCAGCCACTTGGAGCTTTAGGAGCAAGGAGGGGAGCTCTGCTGGTCCCCTCGGGCTTTCCTGAGTGAATCATGGAACAAAGGCATCGCTTGGATGCTGACTTGCAAGAGAAATTTGCAAGCCTCCTGGATATCATGATGTTTCTATTTTTGTGTTAGGTCGCTGAGACCTCTTTGGAGACCTGTTTTGTGTTGTTTGCATTCTTTGTCCCTTCAGAGAACTGTCACGTGGATGCTAACGTGGTCTGCAGACTGTGCCGATGGGAGTTGTTTGCTTATTATTTGGGGGGCCAGGGGCCGGAAGGCAAGACTTTATTTATAATGTGTAGCAAATTCGTGGCCTTTCCCAGGCTCCCCCACCCCCAGAGGAAGGCCCTGGACCCACCCAGCTGTCGCCGACCCCCGGCATAGAAATCGAAATTCCTTCGTGGCGACACCTTGTCTCCCTTGTGGCTCATCTCTGATGGCTGTGGCCGCTGAGAGCCGAGAGCCTGGGCACTGTCCGGATGGCTGAGCTGTGAAAACGAAAGACATTTCCCGAGACTGACAAGGTGCAGCTTCCCGAGAGCCCCTGCTAGCCTCCCTCCTCCAACCTCCCCGCGCCCCTCCCTCCACCACTTGGCTCAGTGCAATACTCCCCTTCTGGTGGGGTCCCTTGCCATGGTACTGTCGCTGCAGCCCCTCGGTCCGTACCGTGGGCCAGCGCCTTCCACCGCCTCTTCTCTGGTGGCTCAGTTGCATCGCCTGTCCCCCACACCCCACCCCCATGTCGTTTTTATGGTCGAATTGATTTCAAAACAATGAAACTGCAAACCTTGTGTGTCTTAATTCTCTCGGGGGGTTCCATGTGCTCAGCCCCCATGGTCTGGTGTGTGACAATCCAGAGCGCGGCCTCATCGGGCACAGAATGCCGTCTCTCTCAAACCCAGAGCCGTGGGCACCTCTGTAACTGTGCAGACCTGCTGGCCCCAAGTAACATATGCAGCCTCGGGCCCCCCTTCCCGCCACCCCTCCTTCTTTTTATGTTGAAGGGTTCTCTCTAATAAAATCGGGTAATAAGCATCAGCCCTCTTTCTCTTTGTGCATTCCCGGGGTCTGCTTGGGAATTTAAGGACTGACTTTGAACGAGGGCAAAAAGAAACCTTGGTCGTATTTTTAAAATAACAACAGGACCCAATGCCTTAATAGCCGTGACCTCCTTCGGGTTCCAGTTGAGTTCAGAAAACTTAAAAAAATTTCTGACAGTGCCGCCCAGTTCAAAAGAACACACACTCCCCAAAGTTTGTATTGGTTCTGCCAGAGTTGCTCAAATTGGGTAATGCATGGACCCCTTTTAAGAGGAGAACGTTTCTCCAGGATTCCCAACTGGAGAGAAGCTGCTTTGGAAGTAAGATCCCATCCCCATAAGCAGGCCCTTGGAAACCCGGTTTCATCACGATGCAGAACCGCACAGCTCACTTATAGACGCGCAGATGAGATGATCTGGAATGTGCTTACCATCCCATCCAAAGACGAATATGCACATACTTTCAAAGATATATGTGCGTTTTGACAGTCACAGGGCCAGCTCCCTCACGTTTTATCCACATCCGCTGATGAGCTGGCTTGTTATCAAGGGTGATGGGAGATGGTCTTCGGAAATTCCTCCGTGCCACCAGCCCCACCCTGTGCCTTGGCACCAAGCAGAGCGTGCAAAGCTAGCATTCAGGATGAGGTCGTGAAGTTGTATGTTAAGGTGAACTTTTGGAAGAGCTTAAACTAGAACATGAAGTACCATCCTCTGGGGTGGGCTGGGGGAGCTTGGAGCAGAGACTTCGGGGTCTTACAGCCCTACCTGCTGTAGTCCTTCTTGGCCACCAGCCCAGCAGGGACTCCACCTAAGAACCAGCGCGCTCGCCCCTCTCTCCCCGCTCAAGACCCTCCCGTGACTCCCCAGCACCCACAGAGCAAAGCTGCACGACCCAGTTCAGATCCCAGCTCCATGTTGCCTCGCTGGGGCTGGGGGTGGGGGGACTTTAATAAAGTGATTGTCCGTCTCTGAGTCTGATCTCGCAGTTCCCGCGCCCGCACCGGCCCAAAGACCTCGCCCGCGCGGCTCGCCTCCCTTTGGCCCCGCCTCTTCCTGTTCCCGCCCTCTGGGCCCCACCCACTCCGGCTCCACTTCCCCTGGGTCCCGCCTCCCCAGGCTCCGCCCCACTTGCTGTTCCTGGTTCGTTCTTGCTCCGCCCACAGTCCCTAGGCTCCCCCACCAAGGCGAGAGGACCCACATAGAGCTGTCCCTAGCACTGCCCAAAGGCCGAGCCCCCAACCCTGGAGACGAAAGCCTGGCCGGAGTCTGTCATACGGGCCACGTTTGAGGTCAGTGGAGAGGTTACGGGGCGTCGGAGCCCCTGCGGGATGGGGCAGCGAGATGGGTTTCCTTCCCCCGGCTCAGGCGCGGATGGGGCAGCCCGGCGCGCGCCGCAGAGGAGGAAGGCCCCCGGCGCAGGCCCCGGATATTTGTGTCAGCGCTGCCGCCACGGTCTCAGCTGATGGGTCGGGATACACGCTCGCGCTCGCGGTCGGCTGGTCGCAGGGCCCGCAGGCAACGGAGCGGTAGTCGGAGTCGAAGTCGGAGCGGGAGCCATGGGCGGCGAAACCGCCGGCGCCGGGACGACGAAGTACGGCGCAGGCGGAGGCGGCAGAGCCGGGAGCGCAGGTGGGGTCGCTGCGTGAACGGCGCTGGGGATCCGGCTCCTGCCCTCGGGGAGCCAGAGATCCTCGAATTAGTCAGAGAGGGCTTCCTGGAGAAGGGGACGTCCGAGTGCGAGTCGCAGTTAGGAAGGGAAAGGAAAGAGAGAGGCGCTCCAGGCAGGGCACCTGGCGGTTGGGGGGACAGTAAAGGAGCGCAGTGAGCGAGGCGGGGCGGAGGGGAAGTGGGAGAGGAGGTCGGGGCGATAAGAGACCGGATCGTGCAGGTTTGCGTACCGTGGTGAAGGGTTTGGCCGCTATTCGGAGGGAAGTAGGAAGCCATGGGAGGATTTTGAGTGATGTACTCTGGCTTACTTTGTGGAACTTCCTCCGGTTTTCGCGTGGGAAAGGGACTGAGGAGGTTGGCAGGAGTGACAACAGGGAGGAGGAGGATGGTACGGTTGTCTAGGCAACAGATGGTGGTGGCTTTCAGAGAGGGAGGCAGTGGGAGGCACAGTGGGGAAAGATTTGAGAGGGATTTCCTAAGTAGGGGTGACAGCACCTGCTATTGGAAGTGGGTGTCAGAGGAAAGAACTGTGGGTGACAGGTGGCAGGCGGCAGGCCTGGGTTGACTCCTAGGACCTGGGTCTCAGCTTCCCTGCGGCCCACAGTCGTGTCCTTTTGGAAATGGGACACCTGTCCAGGCTTAGCTTGAGTCTGCTCCAGCACAAAGGGAGCAGACAGTGCCAGGGACTGACTTTCAGACCTAGGTCCCAGTGCTGACTCAGCCCCTAACTGGCTGTGACCCTCAGTCCAGTCCCTGCCCCACTGTGGTCCAAGTTTGCTCCTCTGTGTACTCACGACTTCCCTGGGGCCTCTCCCAGCATGCCTTGTCTCCTATCCTGTTGGCTTGTTCACACCGCAGCCACGGTGGCTGTAGTCGGACGTGGCTCATTGCTCTCTACATTTGAAAAAGTGGTTTTTGTTTTTGAGTCTCTTAAGGTCAGTGCAACCCAGGACTTTCAAGAAATTATAAGAAGCAGAACAGGAATAACGCAGACATGGTTTAACCAGGGCTTGGCAGCCTGCAGCCTGGAAGCCAAGAATGGTTTTTAATGTTTTTTTAAAGATTTCATTCGTTTATGAGAGAGCACACCGGTGCGCGTGCACAAGCAGTGGGAAGGGGCAGAAGCAGGCTTCCCGCTGAGCAGGGACGCGCCCCCCCCCCCCCATGCGGGACTTGGTCCCAGGACCCTGAGATCATGACCTGAGCCCAAAGCAGACACCTAATGATTGAGCCACCAGGCGCCCCTGGTTTTTACATTTTTAGTTGGTGAGGGGAAAAGTCAGAAAAGGAATAGTATTTCAGGACACGTGAAGATGTTATGAGATACTCAAATACATTCAGGTTTTGGTGTGCGGAAGTAAAAGCTTATTGGGACCCAGCCATGCCCATTCATTCCTGTCTGTCCAGAGCCGCTTATGCTCTGCAACAGCGGAATGGCAGAGTTGTGTCCTCGACCGTCTGGCTCTTTACAGAGAAAGTTTGCTGGCTCGGGTGTGAGCCCCCGGTGTTGCTGTTTTCCGCATCGGTTCATGTACAGCAGTACATTTTGCTGTTGTCATTGGTGCATCTTTTATACCTGCTGTTTCCTATATTTGAATTACGATAATCGGCCATCCCAGATGAGTAATTTGAATTGGCACTGTTAGTGAAAACTTGGTTAAACGTGTAGTCTGCATACAGACACTCCAAAATAATTGGTTTTCCTGGTGTAGACTTTTTGACGTGAGCTTAGTAGGTGGAGCATTTAACAGAATAAAAAGACTTGGTTGTTCCTCTATGCATTCAAAGGCCCCTGACCATTAACGAATCTATCCCTGCAGCTCGTGCATTCCATTCCCTGATCACAGTGTTTTTGCCTGGTTTTCAGTCCTGCCAGTCTTACTCCGGTTCCCTCTTGCCCATCCTGTGGGACCAGTTTAAACAGCACCTTCTCCTATAAGCTCCCTCTTGTTACCTTGGACAGATCAGGTCCTCTGGTTTCTACACTTACAGTTCCTGCACCATCAGGACCCAGCCTGCCGCCCTGCCCTCACTCCTTCCCTCACTCCCCCTTGTTCACACTTTTCCGGCCACATGGGCCTCCTGCTGCTTCTTGAACATGCCAGGTAAATTCCTGCCCCAGGGCCTTTGCTCTTGCTATGCCCTCTTCATGGATTACTCTCTCCCTGTAGCATCCTCCCCCACTTCCTCCAGAGTTGCCTCCTCAGATCTCCATCTTCTCATGCTAGGTGACTCTTCTTTTTGATTTCTAGCACTATGTAGCGTCATGCTGCATGTTTATTTGTTGATGTGAGCCTCCCAAAGGCAGGGGCTGTCAGTATCACTGCTGGTCACTGCCATATCCCCAGAACCCGGAACAGTGCCCTGCACAGCAGGTACTCAGGAAACATCTGTCACACAAAGGACTGACTGGCAGGCAGTAAGCAGACCTTTGTGATTCCCTGCACAGGTCAGATTCGGAGGAAGAAAGGTGGCAGCGGCGAAGGAGGCAGAGCCCGAGCCCGCTGCCACCACGCTGGCGCTCACAGGACCGGTCCTCTCAGTCCGACTCGGAGGAGGAGCGGCAGGAGCGGCAGCGGGGCCGGTGGGCCCGCCGGCAGCGGACACGCTCTTGGTCCCCGGGCTCCTCGGCTTCCAGCTCTGCCTCCCCAGACCGCTCCCAGAGCCCTCGGGAGGCAGCGGCAGCCCTGAGCCAACAGCAGAGCTTGCAGGAGCGGCTGCGGCTGCGGGAGGAGCGGAAGCAGCAGGAGGAGCTGATGAAGGCCTTCGAGACCCCCGAGGAGAAGCGGGCCCGGCGGCTGGCCAAGAAGGAGGCCAAGGAGCGGAAGAAGCGGGAGAAGATGGGCTGGGGGGAGGAGTACATGGGCTACACCAACACCGACAACCCCTTCGGGGACAACAACCTCCTGGGCACCTTCATCTGGAACAAGGTGAGTCTGTTGCCGCCCTCGGCACGTGGCGCGCGTCCTTGGCCGATTCTTCCTGCCTTTCTCGTGGTTTTGTTTTACGTGCCTGTTACGACATCTGCTTCAAAAGACGTGACTGAGCACGCACAGCACGCGTTCCCAGGTGGTGCTTTGCCGCTGAGAGTTTATTTTAGACGTGCGCACGTGCATGCACCCTGGTGCGTGGTGGCTTGTACCGCGTAAACGTTCCTGCCGTGTAAAATTTCAGGTGCTCTGCCCGAAACACCGGGCCAAGCTCCAGCGTGACTGGAGAGCGGGTTCTCTGCGTCACATGCCCGAGACAGGTGCTCAGTCGTCTCGGTGCCGACGGCTCACGCACGGATCACGTACCCGGCCAGTGGCGGCCTCACGCACAGGACTTA